ACCACAGAGATTAAGGCCGTGGCCCATAAAGCCGGACTGCTCAGGTAAATTCCAACTCTATCACTCACTATCATATGATGCAGACCAAGTACTTGAACAGTTCCATGCCTCGGTTTCCTCGTCTGTAAAATGGGTACCTTAATTGCTTCTGCCTCACAAGTTACTTGTGAGGATTACTGAAAGAATATATTAAGCACTTAGAAAAGCACCTCACATATAAAAAATCCAATATATATTTTAATTGCGGTCATTATCAAAGCCAATCAAAGGAATATTTCTCTCACAAATCTTTCAAGTGTAATAGCGTAAGTGTGATTAACATGCAGTCATCTGGACACCATATTCACAGATGAATAACAAATTCATCTGAAACATTTCTGAATTCATAATACGTTTTCTCAATAAACTCATGGTTAAAAGTATGACAACAACTGGGACACTTTTTAACACTAAAAGTGGCCCCTCACATTCAGAGTAAACAAAACCATTGGGTTTGCTTGTTTGTTTATTTTTACAGAGAACTGAACCCTAGAAAGGTAGGTGACTTGCCTAAGGTCACCCAGTGTGGTGCTCAGCTTCAGTCACTGCCCTGGACACTTTACCAGGCACCAGACTGAAGTTCTGGCAGCTTCCTCGGGCTTTTCTCTGAGGCACCAGAAGTCAAATCATCCTTTAAAAATTAATTACCTGACATAGCCACTTTTGCTCATTTTTAACCAGTCTCTACCCTTTCCAAAGCCATTAAGAAGTATCTCAGTTAATGAAAAAATTACATAAATTCAAGCAAATTACCTAACTTATGGGGACCTGAGCTTCCTCTCCATAAAAGGCGAAGACCAGCTCTCCTGTCCTCTGGGAGCAATGCAATGCAGTCCAGGGAAGGAGCACAGCTTGAAAGCCAGTCTAAACCTAGTCCCAGTACAAGAGCAATCCCTTGGTGCTTTTCCCAGTCTTCATTAGCAGGAGGGTGTGACCTCAGTAGGTAGATAATAATCTCTTTTCAGTCACCCGCCACACTGCAATACCTTAAGGTCATTCTTCTCCCTCTCTCCTCAAAGACTAATCAGCACTGTTGGTATGGGGGGATGGCGGGCGGGGGGGAAGCAGGGGGATCCCTGGTTAGGGGGTCATAACATGACTTGATGAACTTCTGGCCAGGAGGTTCGAGCATTCACTTACATGCTATTCCCTTCCATTCATCCTCTTCCCCCTCTCTCCTCAGATCAGCTGGGATCAGCTGCAGTAGCTAATACTTCTCAGATGATCGATTTCACAGAATGAGGGAGTGCAGAGCATGTGCCATTAATACCTAATGAGCCTTCGTGGACATTGCTTGCTTTTCATAATCTGACAGATGACCCCTACTTTTGACTTTGAGGGCCTGATGTAAACCTACTTGAGTGAGTCTGATAGAACACTCTTAAAAAAATTAGAAAAGACCCTCTGGCTACAGAGTATGCATTATTAAGCACCCTCTAGGATATTGAGCAATTTGCCACAAAACCACAGTGCTCTTAGCAAGGGTTTCCCCCAGGACACAAGGGGCAAATGAGCAGCTAGCTCCTCCCCTCAAGAGCATCCCTTATCTGTGGCCCCACCCCTTCCTGTCTTTAGTCAGTTGTCTGGGAGAGAAAAACAGTCAACATACACTGAGCAGCAATTTCTGACTGGGTGTGGATTCTCTGAAGGCTTCCCTTGAAAGCAGCTAGAGGAAATAAGAAATTGACATAGAGGGGTTAAAAAAAACACCTCACAGAGACAGAGAGATAGACAACTGAAGATCTGCAGCAAGAACTGACAAACCTCAGGTGACAGGGGCCAATGTGTGCTTCATCCTGGAGTCCATGGCAGAAGCCTTAATTGAGAAACTGGGAAGAGGAAGAAAGCTAATTTGTATTCGTTTAAAGTTGAAAAATCTGGATTGAAATTTTAAGTCATCACAATTAACATAGATGAAAACATTGTGGAGCAAAAGTGATTGTACACACACCCAACGTGTTCTGCATGAGTCTGCTCAGAAACAGGCAACATTAAGCTATGGTACCCAGGAGTCATATTTGGGTAGTAAGACTATAAAGAAAAGCAAGGAGGTGATTACCATTAGTCAAGATGGTTCTGTGTAGTGAGCTTCTGGGGTGCTGGCAATGTTGTATTTCTTGACCTGGGTGGTGGTGATTTTATAGGTATTTACTTTATAATCACTTGCTATGCATTTATGTTTTATGACTTTATTTCACAATAAAAAATGTTAAAAAAGAAAAAGAAACAATTTCAAAATACAGAGTTACATTCGGAAGCTTCAGCAGTGTAACAAAAGAGGAGAGTCAATGCCAGAATAATTCATGCAAGAGAAAGAAAACAGCCCTGGCTGAGGTGGCTCAGTGGGCTGCAAACCAAAAGGTTGTAGGTTTGGGCTCCCCTTCAGGGCACATGCCTGGGTTGTGGGCCAGTCCCCAGTTGAGGCCCGTGTGAGAGGCGACCTATTCGATGTTTCTCTCTCACATCCACGCTTTTCTCCCTTGTTCTCCCTCCCTTCCTCTCTCTCTAGAATCAATAAAAGAAAGAGAGAGAGAGAAAGCAAACATAGCTATTTAAATGAAAGGCACTCCTCTCCCAGCTTAATTTTATGGTTTGCTTTGGTGTGGAGACTCAAAGTCTACATATATAAAACCATACCAGCAAACTCTATAAATGTAGCACACCTACCAACCAGAAGGTGTGTACAACTCTAGGCCAGTGCTGACACCTCTTCACTATTGTTCACTGTTTACAGAGCACTTTCCCATATCATTACTCACAGCCAGTGGCTGGGGTTATCTCCACTGCAGAATTAAAGAAGGCAGCCTCAACCATAGACGGCCCCCCCAGGTTCAGCTCAAGTAAGAAGCAGAAACCAGACCAGCACCTGATCTCAGATGACCACTTTCCCATTCCCAGGAGGAGGCCTCAGTTTTTCTATGTGGAAATAATGAGATGAAGAAACAAGTAAATTACTGCCAGAATGAGAATGTCACCTTCTGAGTTACTTTCACTTTTCAATAAAGTACCTGCCAAGGTAAAGATCCGCTTCCCTCGCTAGGCCATGAACACCTTGAGAATGGAGTTGTGTCCTCTCATTTCTGAGACCCCAGGGCTCTAGAACATGCTCATTAAACATGTGCTAATTAATTAGTTAATACATGAAAGACAAAGTAATGAATATACGGTGCTGTTTTCTACCCCATACTGTCATTCCTACACAGTGCCACTCATATGACAACTTTTTAAAGCAGTTAAAATGCCAGGTGATAGCTGCCCTTTTAACAGATTGCCCATATATCTTCCACTTCTCAAAAAAAGGTTACATGTCATATATTAATTCAGAAGTGGAGAGGGCTGACAGGTTAATTATAGACACAAAGAGTGAAGACAAATGGACTATGAGGTAAGCGAGTCTAAATGTGCCTTCCCTGGACGAGCATTTATTAATAAGCCTGCAAAGATTTACTGGGCATGGCCAGGTTCAGCTCTGTGTCAGGCTTCAGGGTGGGGATCCAGATAAAGGAAGGCACAGTTTCTGTGCTTGAGGAATTTGGGAAGACAGCCTGTACCTATGAATATAATCATCAAAGAGGTCCCCTCAGGGCAGCAGGTGGGAGACGGAGGGAAGATAGGGCCTAAGAACTGAGACACCTGCCTTTTGGGGGGCAGGGTGGTCAGAGAAAACCTCCTCAGTCCAGCTAGGTCCCCTTGGAAGGAAGTGTAGCACTGTGGGGGGCCGACAAGCCAAGAGAAGGCCTCCAGTTCTCCTCCCGCGCCTCCCATTTGCTCCTTCGGCTGCTGGCAGCAAGGATTTACGTCAAAAGAACCCACAGGGATCCTTCCCTTCCCTCCCCCAAGAAAAAAGATGGTCAGATAGCTGGGTGGGCAAGTTTAGGGTCAGCTTCAGCAAGTAGGTGGGCCCAAGAATGGAATGTGAGGCCTTACGGCAAGGCGTGGACACCAGGGAGTGCTTTTTGTTTCCTTTTTTCATTTAGTCAAAAAGTATTTATTGGAGGCCTTGTGGGTTGCAGGCTCTGAACGTGACGACTCTCAGTGGGACGTCAAGCTTGCCCTTAGCCCAGACTAGATGACCAACGCCTGGGCCTCCACACACTGAGTCCGGATCTCCCTGCGGCTTCTGCTTTACTTGGCAGTGATGGGTCTGCTGGTCTCCGAACGAATCGCGGCCCTTCCACAGACATGAGGCCCTTCTAAGAATTAAATTATTCCTTTGATTCAGGTGTTCCTGGGGTTTCGAAAAGGGCTGATCGGTTGATAATCCGGAATGCCAGGAAGAAATATGGCCATGGCCACTCCCGCAGGGGGAGGAGAACGTCCAATTGGGTTTACTCAGGTTTTTTTGTTTGTTTGTTTGTTTGTTTCCAAAATTCCGCCTTTTCTCGAAAAGGCATTAGGGAGCTGAGACCTGGCCATGGATCAGGTCCAAAGAGTGAGAAACGAGTCGTTTCGGTTGTGTTTAAAGTTAATACCACTCGCCCACCCACTCCACCTCACTTTACAGATGATCCAGGTGTTTCCAAACGACTTTCCGCCACTCGGCGACTTGTGAAGAATCGAGAGGTGATATCTCCCAGAGGGTGGGATCTGCTGGGACCCTCAGCCTCTCGCCTCTTGACAAAGCGCGTCCACACGCCGGGCCGCGCTTCCGGGGGGAAGGAACGAAAACTGCCCACTCCTTTCTCGCGGACACGGTGAATGCGCGCCCGGCTGCTGCCCGGCGTGCCCGGGAGCGCCCCGTCTGGGAAGGGGCTGCGGATCCAGACGCGCGGAAAGCGGTCAGTGCACGGCGCCCCCGGCGCACCTGGATGCGCCCGGCGGTCCCAGCTCCGTCTCCGGCTCCCGAAACCGCCGTCTCTGATAGCGCCCGCGGGACCCCAGCCTCCCCAGGTTTTCTCCGGGCCACGCCGCTCCCCAGCCCAGGAGCGCCCCGCTCCCCACGCGTCCCAGGCTGCTCTTACCCGGGAAATGGCGAGAGGCTGCTCGAAGTCCTTGCCCCCAACGAGGCGGAAGCCCCATGGCCCCGGGCCCTGGAGGACTATTTGCTGGGTGGTCATGGCGCGGCGATGGCGAGGGACAACCCACGGGGACAGACGCAGCAAGACCCGACGCCGCGCTCTGGGCTTCCCAGTCAGCTATCGCAGAAAGTGCGCGCGCCGCGGGCACGGGGAGCCTGGGGCGGGCGGAGCGAAGGCGAGGGCGGGGGCGGCTCCGCCCAGGCTGCGGTACAGCCGCCCGCCCCGCCCGTCCTTCCTGCCGGGTCGAGGGTTAGGGAGTCGTTCAGAGAGAGCCTCGAGTCTGGTTGAGGGGCCCGCTTCTCCAGCTCCGCCCTGGATTCTAGTACCGCCGAAGGCGCTATAGGTGAGAGGCAAGCAGGTACCGACAGACCCGGGCTTGGCTCTTTGTAAAACGAGTTTACAAGTACTGTGCAAAGTCAGCCCCCTGAGAGCAGCTGCATCTTCACATTTACTTTTTGTGTTAAAGGTGCTTTCCGAATGATCTCATTTGATGCTTTGAAGCAGACAAGGGGTTCAAAGACTTTCCCGAGACTGCACAGCTCGCCGATCTTGGTGCTTAGGAAGCCCGTAGGGGTACATTTCTAATGCTATTGACCCATCGAACGGGATTGTAATTGGAATTCAAAACCTTCCTAAACAACTTCCTTCCAGGCTGGAGTTCGCTGTAGGTTCTGACCTTAACAGACCTTGAGTCTGGGGCGGGACAGGCGAGGAAAGGGCACTGGGTTGCGTAGAAGACCTGGGTTCCCAGCCTGCCTCTGGCTTCCACTGGCCTCCTCGCACCCTCGCCCTTGAGGGCTTTCTCCATGCCAGACCAGACCATGGCTCACGTTGTCCTCTCTGAGTAAAGCCGATATCCTTGAAATGCTTATAGGGGCACCCACAAGGAGGCCGACACCCTCTCTGACCACATCTCCAACTGCCGCCCCACCAAACTCGGGGTTCGTCTGCCTCAGGGCTTCAGCCTGGATTGCTCTTCTCTCAGACACCCCGTGTCTCTTTCTGCGTTCAGTTGTCATCATCTCTCAGCGCACTGCTTAAACCTCCTCTCTAGCAGACTCTAGTCACCTTACCTCTGCTTTAGTTTTTTCTGTTGCATTTGTCACCATGGGACATACTCAATATTTTACTTATTATTTGTCCCATCCCCATCCCTAAGCATTAGTTTCGTGGGGGTAAGGTGTTTATTGGTTTTGATCAAGGCTGTATCCCAGTGTCTAGAAAAGTATGTGGTGTATAGTATTTAATGAATGTACATTGGCCATTCTTATGATCACTTACGCTCTCTTGGGTCCAGGTTCTTCATCATTTTCTTGGCACTCATTCATCCTGGCACCAGAGCGCCAGCACAGTGCTTGGCACAGAGCACATGCTCAATGTATGTGATAGAGTGATTTATGAAGCATATATATTTGGTCATTTAGATGACCAAAATACATTTCTCAAAAATATTTGGGCTTTGTCCAAGACTCCTGGCTCACAACTCCTGAAACCCACAAAATTTCCCAAATGTTGAGAAAGGTAAAGGTGTGTTTTGTTATGCAAATAAAGTGAAAAAGAAAGCACCAGTGGATGGGGGATGGTTGTCAAGGGAACCAACCCTGTGATTAGAGGTTTAGAATTTTCAGTCCCACACTCCCCACCCCCACCACGCAGGAGGGGTAAGGGACTGGAGAGCTAACCCACGGCCAATATCCAGTAAATTAATCAGTCGTGTCTAGGTAATGAAGCTTCCATAAAAATCAACTGACTATAACTCAGAAGTTCCCACACCCTTCTTCTCTTTGGGTTCGGAGAATTTGCTTCTGAGACCTTCTGGGTTGGTGAACACATGGAGACGCAGGGATTGTGGCGCACTTGGAAGTGACCTGGAAGCTCCACACCCTTCCTCACAAACCTTACCCTATGCATCTCTTCCATCTGGCTGTTTCTGAGTCATATCCTTTTACAATAAACCAGTGATGTGGCAAGTAACAGGTTTCTATGAGTTCTGTGAGCTGTTCTAGCAAATTAATTAAACCTAAGGAGGGAGTTGTGGGAACCGCTGATTTATAGCCAGTCGGTCAGAGGTGCAGGTAACAACCTGGACTTGTGATTGGCATTCTGAGTTAGAGGGGGGTCGTTGGAATCTCCTATCTATAGCCTGTTGGTCAGAAGCACAGGTATGAGCCTGGGCTTGTGGCTAGCATCTGAAATATGTGTGTGCGGAGCAGCCTTGTAGGACCCAGGCCTTTCTTAACCTGTGGAATTTGATGCTATCTCCAGGTTAGTAGATAGTGTCAAAATTGGGTTGAATTCTCAGACACCCTGCTGGTGTCTAAGACTTGTTTGTTGGCGTGAGGAGAACCCCCACCCCACATTCCATTTGGGTCCACGAACCGAATTTAATGTGTTTGTGAAAAGCCAGGCTCTGTCTCCTTGTGATCCTGGCCACCTACCAAGGAGCCCTGTCCACAGATTTACACATGAAGGGATCATCTTACTGGTACGTTGTATCAAAGCACAAATGCCTGTTTTTAAGAATAATTTGCACCCTGGCTGATGTGGCTCAGTGGATTGAGTGCCCACCTGTGAACCAAAGGATGGCTGGTCGGATTCCCAGTCAGGGCACATGCCTGGGTTGCGGGCCAGGCCCCCAGCTGGGGGCATATGAGAGTCAACCAATCAATCTATCTCTCACATGTTGATGTTTCTCTCCCTTTCTCCCTCCTTTCTCCTCTCTCTAAAAGTAGATAAATAAAATTTTTTTTAAATAGAAAAGAATGGTTTGCTTATATTTAAAAACCAAAGTGGATTTATGTTATCTGTTCATCCTCCCTTCCCCTTGCATCCTGATATTCTTTCTTGAGTCTGAGAAAAAGGAATGGACTTACAGCCAGGAACCAGCCACCTGCTTCATCGAAGCCCCAAATCCATCCACTTTGATTAAGATTCTGCTGATTAGAAAACATGCTAGGGTTTCAAGTCCCGGCAGAATTGTGGGGGAATCGCCAATTCTGAGTCTGCCCTTCAATGTGTAGCAGTTTTGAGTATCTTGTGTCCAAGGAGGAGGGAAAAAGGTTGAAAGCCACAGCTTCTGTGCCCCCCACAAGGAGGGGAGCTGCCTCTCATTCAACTCTGTGTGTCCTGCTAGCAGGGGCCAATACACCGTAAGTGCCAGCAGTGCTTATTCTACACAACATTCTTTTCAGGCACGGGTACTAATGCACTTGTGAGGGCCGTGAGTCCTCAGTTGCCTCTTTTAGTTGTTAAATGTTCTCAGCTGTAGTCTAGATCTACATGCAAAAGCTATAAAACAGCCAACACTTTGACCCAGTCATCTCCTTTCTGGGCAGCGATTCCAAGGACATAATTTAAAAGAAAAAAAGCTATATGTACAAAGATATTTATAGCCACATTATTTATAATGACAAAAAACTGGAATCAACCAGTAACAGAAAGGTGGCTAAATATGGTATGGCCATATGAGGAATAGTACGCAGCATGGAAATAATGACCATGAAGACTATGAGGAGACAGGGAAATATGAGTTGGGGATATGTAAAAATAACTGGAACAAAATTATTTGTAAACCAAATATTATTTGTAAAAGTTGTGTTAAAAAATGAAAACTATGTCTTCTTATTGCTAAAAATTAGGAGAAAGTACAAAAACTAACTTTGTATTGGGAGCTGGAATTAGGAAGTTTTTTTAAAAATAAGTTCCTTTACTGATGACGTAATGCCAAAATGAAAATAAAATGGTCTCGCCCTGACTGGTGTGGCTCAGTGGGTTGGACATCGTCCTACGAAGTAAAAGGTCACTGGTTCAATTTTCCATCAGGGCACATGCCTGGGCTGCAGGTTTGCTCCCCACTCAGGGTGTGTGGAAGGGATAACCAATTGATATTTCTCTTTCACATCAACGTTCCTCTCCCTCTCTTTCTCCCTTCCCCTCTCTCTAAAAATAAATTTTAAAAAATTGAAAAAGAAAACTATTGAGGACCCTAAAAAGCTTTTTAAAATAAATAAATAAATAAGTAAAATGGTCTCAGATTCTTGGATTGGAGGCTATATGCCAGTCTTTCTGAGGGCAGAAAATCTCATCTCTCTTTTTGATCTCCTCTAGTAGTGCTCTGAGCTGGACACACAGCACTACTCGGAAATACCTGGACCCATGGACAGACCTGATTCCTTCTCTCCAACACAAGCAACTCTGTCTTATTTTAAACACCATTACTTATTTATCCCTACTCTCCAGTTTCCTCAGACCCTTGACTCCTGCCGAGGTCCTAAGCAAACTCTCTGAACTCTCAGTTGCCTTGCTATTATTATAATGCATTCCATGAAAGTTTGTTGACCAAAACAGCCTCCACCAAATATCTGGATTACGGGAGGGGAGTGGGTGAAGGAGGAGGGATGCAGGAGAAAGCTAGAGAAAGGAAAGCAAAGAGGACAGGAAAACAGAGTAATGGTTCAAGAAGTCAGGAGGACAGTGGGTCTTTCCAGTTCTCATTCGTTTTCCTGGGTGGACAGGGGGAGAGGGAGGGGTCTGCAGGCGGATTCCCCCAGTCTGGCTTCTGCAGCGCTGGCAACCCCACACCCAGGGTGCCTTTGCCAGGACCGCCCCACCCCCACCCCCAGCCCCGGGCCACTATGTGGATGGAGACAGACCAGGAGTGGGCCAGGCTACCCCTATGGTCTTACTGAGTCTCCAGGTCCTGGCCTCTCCCGGTTGACTGCAGAGCTCCTGTCGCCGGAGGCCGCGCCAGGACCCCTCCTGTGGGGCTGAGGGTTTTGGGCCCCGCCCCACGGGAGAGGGTAGGTGACTCCCAGACTCTACGCCTCCGCTAGGATCAGAGGCAGGCTCTGTCCCGTCGCAGGAGAGCCGGAAGCCGCCTCGCCAAGCTCGCAGCGACTCCCCTGCCCCCGAAACGGCACAGCCTCCTGGGGCGCCCTGGTCCAATAACAGCCAAGTGACTTGCTTTCTCTTTTCTGTAAAAAGAGTGAACCCTAAGCTCAGAAACTCGCAGAACAAAGACACCTTTCCCGCCCGTCCTATTCTGCCTGTCCAGTCTCGTTCAACTCCCAACCCTGCCCCCAGGGGCGGCGCGTCCCCTACTAGGACTCCGCGGCGCGCGGTGGCTGGTCAGCGCCG